TTGATTGGTCAATCGGCCAATAGAATCACGAGATGATCGCCAAAATCTAACCAATCACAATGAAAGTTCGCTATGCTTATATAAATATATAAATATATAAATTATATATTGATCATAAAAATTTATTTATTCTTCTGCAGTAAAAAAGGTATTCCATCTGCCACAAAAACAATCAACTATTTTTTTAGAGTTTAAACAGAAAACAGGAATGAAGGTAAGATTATCAAATAGTTTATCTGGTCCTTGACCCTGTTGTCCATATTTACCTATTTATTATAGATAAATTAGTTGTAAACCATTATATAACAAAAAATCAAAATAAAATATTATACCCCATCCACAAGTCCAAAGTCGATAATCATCTAAGCGAATTCGAATACAAAAATGAATAAATTAACCTTCATCGTGCATAATCAAATTCTAATAAATGTTTATTTACTCACCTGTAATGATGGCAGTATGAGCGCTTCCACAGGAAACCTTTATCACATTAGGTCCCAAATCTTTTTCTTCATCAAGTTCTATCAATGTAGGTTCAGCATAATTAATTGAAGGTTGCGTGTGATCATCTTCATCAGGAGGAGGAATACCCAGTCTTCCCAAATGATTCCATCCAAAAGTATATAAATCACCTGAATCTATTCATTGTTAATTTAATTTTGTATGATTTATAGCGCACGGTTGAAAAGATGGTTTACCAGTAATCACTGCTGAATGCCATCCACCGCAAGCGATATAAGTTACTCTCAAGCCCAAAAAAAATTCAATTACTTTAGGCTTATCTAAAGATTTTGTGTCTCCATGGCCTAATTGTCCATATCTAAATAGTATCAGGTTTGTATTAATCAATTCCTTAAATTATTATTGGTCATTCTTAATTACTTTAGTTATTCTTAATTAATTATTCTTAGTTATTCTTAATGATTCTTAATTATCTTTGAGTTGAAGCAATAAATATTACACACCTTCCAGATCCCCAACTAAATACTTGTCCTGTTTGAGTCAATGCCAAACAATGATTTTCTCCACATACTACTGTTGTGAAAAATTGGTCGATCGTATCATCAACTAGTGTAATCTTTTCCGAAGAGGCCTGTTCAATATTCCAATTGTACAGTTTTCCATCCACTTTAAAGGTAAGTTTTTCTCAAGTCAAGTTTTAATATAAAAAGTTGTTGAATGACATCTTGTTATCTTACCTGTTACCACAATTATAGCATTACCGGTCCAAAATTGCGAGACATCAACAATTTTTGTGTGAAAATGACTAATTTCATACATTCCCGAATGTTCCCTTTCGAAGTGTATATTTCCATCAATGTCAAGAAAACCTCGGATGCCATTGTCATTACCAAAACATTTTTTTATTCTTTGCAAAGATTTACGAGTCGGAGAAATTATCTTATTTTCTACAGAGTCAAAACCCCATGTTAACAATACTGTTGAATCATTCCCATTTTTTATAGACTAAATTAATTTATAATAAGAATTAGATAAAATTAATTAGACGTAAAATTTTTTAACAATTTTTGCACCTTTTCGCCCAAAGTTACGTTCATATTGGCCCAAATTATCTTGTCTACGAACTCCGTTATATCGATTGGTAAACTGATGATTGCATCCTGACTTTCAGGGCGAGTTTGTCTAAAAGCATTATAACCAATCGCATAGATTTTTGACTTTTTTGTCATTTAATAAAATCTAAATGTATTGTGGGCCTTTTCAAAGTGAATTTACTAGTAGCGAATTTCGTATTGTAATTGTATTATATTACTTATGCACATGCACTAAATTAGAAATAAAGTAAAAAATATGTTATGCGATAAACACCACACTGATTACAGACTCTTTGAATAGGTTGATCTATTCTGTATATGGTTTGTATTACAAGTGCAAATAAGTGTACAAACCCTAAAAATTTCTCTGACCAATCAATTTCGATATCAAACGTAATGCAAAAGACAAAAATAATCATAATTCAACACTTGCCTATGAAACTGCCTTCTGCGCATTAATTCTTTGCGAATTTTGAGGTTCATTCTAACCTAATCTAATAGCCATTCCTAACCCTAATCTAACGACTAAAATGTTTTTAGAGAAATTTTTTAGGGTTGTAACACTAGGGTCCTAAATATTATATATTTACGTGTAACATACAACTTGGCTTAAAATCTCGCAGTGTTAGAGAACTCTTTCCGTGTTCAACATGATTCAGTTATTTCCTAATGAATTGCAAATTCAAATTTTAACGGATGTTATTACTAAGACAAAGTAAGTTCACAGAAATTGAATAAATATTTTGTTGAAATTTCAATTTTTTTTTTTTTTTTTTAATAAATTTAATTATTTTAAATAATATAGTTTTGAGTATTTTTGTACTCTTCGAACAGTTTGCAAAAAATGGAACACATTCGTTCCTTTAATAATGAGTGAAATCGTTATTTCTAGATTAAACTCTGATTTAGAACTTGAGGTGAATAAAAATTTTTAAAGTTAAATTATTATAATAAATTTAATCGATAATAATCAACTTTTGACTTAGTTAACGGACTGGAACGAATCCAAATGGTCTAAAGAAATGCCTCCAACATATGATGATCAAACCAAGACTTTTACTTTTTTATTTAATAATGATAATCATACTAACAAGCGTAAAGTTTACAAATATGATTCCCTATTCTTTAGAAAATTTAACAAACCTAAGCCTATAGATAATTTCATAGCATTTGTGGAAAAGACAGATAGTTCATTTTTTCCAATTAAGATTGGAGCTAAATTTGGTAGTTTAGCTTGGCCTAAATTTGGTAGTTTTTTAGCTTGGCCTAAATCCGTAAATAATGATTTAGATAAACATGAATTCGATAGTAAAAGTAATGTGTGTTTTAAACGATTGGATGATGATAAAAACGATGGTAATATAAGGCTTTATAGTTTTACCATTGCGGCTTGGAAACTTTACTATATTTTGGATTGTCTTCAAACTAATGTGTATGTTATATATATACTTATATATGTGAATGAATTTTACTTAAATTTTAGCTTTGTATTAATAAATTGTTCTATTTTATAATACAGGATACTTATGCAATTGAGAGAAGGATTTCAATATTTTTACGATGATATATACAATGGAAGCTTCTGTGGCACATCAAATCCAGGCACTAGAAGACGTCGTCCTTGTAATTTAGATTAGCTACATTTTATATTGTTGTTTACTGGATGTAAATTATCTATTCGTAATATTTATACTTTAACCCCATTTTTATAAGTTAATCTTCAAATAAAGTTTCTTAAATTACACCTTGCTATCATACAGTAATTTCGAAAATATATAAATATGGTTAATAATCTGCAGATAAGACGATGTAAGTTATTTTAATATGTGCGAATGAACTCGGTCATGAATTACATGGATAATATTAATAAAGTGCAATTTGTTATTTTAAGAGCAATTTGTTATTATGAACCTGAATTTAAATAAGTTTATGATTAATATTTTTGCTTGCAGCTGAATTTATATGAATAAATAATTTAGTAGTTTCTTAAATACAAAACCAAATACACTGTAAATAATTTAAAAATAATTAATTTGGATTTAAGAAATATTTTTAAAAGTACTTTAAAGTAGCCCATTTACTAGAGTAGTAGAATGGGCGTGAGTGTACAGTACAATGATTCACAGCGAATATAGGGTCGATTTCCGCACTCGAATTTTAGGGTTGCCTTGTTCTTTTAATGGTTTTAAGAATCGTTCTAATGTAAAAAATGTTAAATTATTAATTAAAAACTCTAAAACTACATATAAGAATTTTAATAGCCACTGAAATTATTTGCATACGAGTTTCGAATCATTTACTGATACATGTAGTTCGATATAACTAAACTTTATATTGTATATGGATATGTGAAGTTGATTGTATATACTATGGATGGGATACTGAACATCTATAGATTCAAAATAGTGATCCAAATCGATAGTTGAAAAGCCTATTCAAATTAATTAGAAATATGAAAGCCATTAAAGGTAGCGAAATCGCATGCATGATCGTGTTCTATTAAGGTCTACCATGAAAATTTTTAAAAGGTTTGTTTTAAATAACTTACAATTATATATTAAATATAATACTGATATGTGTTATTTAGTCCTGTTCATTCATGCCGTAAACTGCCCCATTATAATATTTCCGAGTCTGTGGCTGAGTTAGGTAAAAGAAGAAAAGACTTGCATTATTTCATAACTCGTTCATTTACTTCTTTTTGTTTATTTCTTTTTTTATTGTTATTCTATCATTATATACGCTTACTTTATTTTATATCTAGTGACCCTTTTATATTGGCCAGATTCGAATTTTCGTATTATTGGAAAATGTTACGCTTTTTTTAATAGATTAAACCAAAATTAAATACGTTAAATATTTTCATTTGTAGAAGGGCTTGCAATAAATCAAAGTAAAGGCCAATAAATTTTTATATAAATAAAAAATAAATCATATTATTTAGCTATAACAAATATTTGCTTGAAATCTCCATTTAAATATAATATCACAAATAAAGTTATTTTAATAATATAATCCCAAATATTTGAAAAATGAGTTAATAAATATGACTCTTTAAAGTTAAACGTCTGGAATTTTTAAACTACCTATTGATTTACTTCCAATTAATTTTTTTATTTCCCGTGTGTTGATTGATTTGCTAGTGTACATGTGAACGGGATGTTTCGATATTTCAATGATTGGCTTTACGTAAGGTATTTTGTCGGCGTCCAAAAACTGTTTTTTAATTTTGTTTTCATCATCTGAATTTAAAATTTTTATCCATTTTTCTATTTTTTCAACAATTTCTTTTGCAGTAGGTCGTTTTTTAGGATCTAGATCCATGCATTGTTTAGCTAATTCAACATAACTTTGAGGAATGCCCTGTGCAAATTTTGGTCTTAATCCATTACAAATTCTTAACGCGAGATCAGTATTAAATTCATGACCATCGAAAGGTTTTTTTCCAGATGTTATTTCCCACATGATGATTACTAATGAATAAATATCCACAGCTTGAGTAAACGGTTTTTTTTGTAAATTTTCAGGAGCTACATAAGGCATGACTCCGTAAACTTCATTTTCTTGCGCTGTACTTGATAATATCGAAAGTCCTAAATCTGCGATATATGCACTATGTAAATTGTCTTGTAAAATATTGCCATCATGCAAATTTCGATGGATAAGTCCTTGAGAGTGAATCGATTTAAGATCGAAAACAATACAATGTAACAAATTTATCCATTTCATTTGTGATACGGCGCGGAGATTATTACGCAAAGAACCAATTTCGTCATATTTTAAGACAAGAATATAGTCTTTAGAGGTTTCATGTCTTGATATTCCGTAGCACTTCAAAAACAAAGGATTTTTGTATCCGATTTTACAATAATTATTAAGCTACAATATTCAAATTAATTAAGTGAATGTTAACACTTCATTATTCAAACTAGTCAAATGGAGATTAATATAATAATGAATCACCTCTTTCATTAATTCTTTTTGATTTCTATTTGAATTTGAAATCAATTTAAGTGCGATAGGTATCATAGAATAATAATATGCAGTTCTTTTTATTAAGTTGGCTTTAAAGACAGTTGCGAATCCACCTTCTCCGATTTTTTTGATATCTTTAAATGCTTTATATGGTATCCATGATAATTGATATTTTGCGCATTTCAATATTTTTTTCAAATCGTTATCAATACCTTCAAGCTGATATTCATCATAAATAAAGTCTTCTAAATATTTTTATTTAGTATCGATTTTTTCCTTTCTTTTTTTATCTTTTTTCTTTTAAAAATATATAAATTACTTACTTGAAATTTCGTAATTACCCCTATTATACATTTAATATGTTAATAAAATATATTGAAGAAAAAAAACTAAACATAAGAATATTTACATTCTAAACCAACGATTAGCTTCCTGCAAACTCCTTTCTATTCCTGTCCCGTTTCGATAACAATAACCAATTTCAATCATTCCTTCTGCATGACCCATCATAGCCGATTTCGGATAATACTCAAATGCTTTTTTTTCGTATCTTTCCGTTCCAATTCCGAATTGATAACAATATCCAACATTATTTATTCCTAAAACATGATCTAATTCTGCTGCTTTTGAATACCATTTAAATGCTTTATCCTCATCTTTTCCTACTTCAATTCCCTCTTGATAACAACGACCAACACTGAATACACCATGGCCTATTTTTGAGTTTTTTTCAGGCCATTCAAAACAACAAAAATTGAAGTAGGCATTTTCATTAGTTCTCATTATAGCAAATTTCTGATAATAATCAGATGAATTATTTTCATTTTCATCTACTCCAATTCCTTTACCATAGAAACATCTAACTTGATATATTCAATCTATATGACCCTTCTCTGCAGATTTTAAATACCATTCAAATGCTTTATGTTCATCTTTTTCAGTTCCAAATCCATTTCTATAACAATCACCAATCTTATATGTTCCTTCAAAATGACCTACATTTGCAGATTTTAAATACCATTCAAATGCTTTATGTTCATCTTTTTCAATTCCAAACCCATTTTGATAACAATCACCAATCTTATATGTTCCTTCAAAATGACCTTCAATTGCAGATTTGAGATTATATTCAAATGCTTTTTATCATTTTTTTTAACACCAATCCCGTTTTCAAAATAAATACCAACATTAAAACTTCCATCAGCATGACCCAAATCAGCTGATTGTAAATAATTTAAGAAGCTTCTTTTTTCATCTTTTTAACGATTTCCTAGTTCAAACAAATCGTCACTAGCTAATTTCAAATAATACTCGAATGTTTTACGCTTTTCTTCTCCAAATTGGTTAGTGCTCCCCATGTTAGGAGCACAAAAGTAGACCTTTTACGTAGATTTTTTAAAAAAAATCAAGTCTATCGCTACGTATTTATTATTGGTTTTTTTTTCAGCCTCAATACACTACATACAAACAATCAATCAATGGTACAGTATGTATCAATTTATTTTGGTGCTTACGACATGCAGAAAAACAAGCAAGTTCTAAGCAAGATTTCGATTTACAGTACAATTATTCGTAATAATAATGATCAAATATCCGTTGTACGATTAAAGTTTTCCAATCATAGCATTGGTGTAAATTAACGTTCGACTTTTTTTAGGAAATGCTAGTGGACACTTGATTAGTCATAATTAGTCATTCATTAATTAGTATAGTCGTTATTTATTAACTGAGTAGTAATTCCGGTATCGGATTGAGTAAACTTTCTGGTAAAAAAAATTCGGCAGGACATGGCACCAGAAGTTCAAAATGATGGAAATTATACATCAGCAGCTGATATATAGCTTTGGAACAATAATGTTAAGCAATATTCCATTTAACGATCTCGAGTACGATATTGAGCTTAGTGGAGAAGTTTGTTACAATGGGTTACGCCCACAAATTATTCCTGAAAACATTTTCCCAAAAATAAATTAGAAAAAAATCTTATTAGGCAAAACAAAAAGTAGATCTTTGGCATGCAAAATAATGCTACCGATTCAGGCTTAGTTTTTAAATGATTTAAATATTATAAGTATTATAACGAATGAAATTTCATCTTACCCCATGTAATGTTCAATCTTATTTAGTTTTATTTTTTCTGTTTTTATTATTTTATTTTATTATATTTTATTATTTTATTTTTTATTCTTTATGTTTCTTTTTCCCACCAATTCCATTTTGATAACAATACCCGCGTTTATTAATAATTCTATCAAGATGTAAATCTAATCAGTTATACTAAAATAGAATTTGTAAGTGGCTTGGTGGCTTAGATGCATGAAAATCAGATGCATCGCGAATACGCGGTAAATACCGCGAAGATGCGGTCATAACAGCGAATACGTGGTAATAACAGCGAATGCGCTGGAACCGCCGCGAATTCGTTGAGAATATAGCGAATATGCTGAAAATTCTGCGAATACATTGTAAAATTTTTACATGTCTATAAGACCTTCAATTTCAATAAAGACAAAATAAGTTCCACGTCCATTCTCAATAGATAAGAAAATAAATACTTCGTTTGAATTCAACTATAATGTTAATAACCTTTTAAGACTCAATTCGACGGACTGAATTGACTTGTAACTTCAATTGGCTATTAAGACTTGAAATTCTTGCGTAG